AAAAGGCACAGCTTTTCCTCAGGCCTTCCTGCAGGCTCTACGAGGCAGAGCTCCACCTGCCTGCTGCAATGCTGAGCTCAGTCACTGCAAAGTGAGGCAAAGCCAGAGGAAGGCTCCCTGCCCCTCCACAGCTCTGCTCACACAGGTTATTCCTGCACCTACCTGATGTCAACTTTGAGTTTGGGGTAATACTGAGACACGTATTTCTTGATCAGGCTGTAAGAGGCCTCCTTTGGCTCACAAAGGCGGGTGAAAGCCAGGGGCAGGATATCTTCCAGTTTGACTTGTTGCTCTGCAGTCAAAGCTGAAGTGCTTTTCTGAAACACACACACTGTTACCCATCAGCAGGGCCCAAAACTCTGGCTCTTCTCAACCAGCAAGGCACAGGTGGGAAGATGTGCTCTGACACTGGCCACCCATCTGGAAAATCAAGTCCTGTAAGGCAGCTCTTTAACAGTTTGCAAAGTTTAGCAGCTGAAGTAAAACTGAGTGAGTTTGGCTGGAATTTTCATAGGAGTCTTAGGAAAGTTTTACAAATATAAATCGCTGAGTATTTAAACAACATCTGTATTTTTAATGATTTCCTTTCTTCTTCTATAAGCATCTTTCTCTGCTACCCTTCAATGAGAGGGGTGAAAATGATACAGGCTGACATGCAACTTAAAAAAAAAGGCAAGGCCTGTTTACACAGGTCAAACCCTCCCCAAAATGAACAGCAGCACAGTTTTTTTTTCCAGCTGACAGAACAAAATCCTGATGGCAGCTAAGCCTCCCTTCTGAATTTTCCTCCATCCCTTGGTTACTATAAGGAGGGGACAATCAGGGGAAAAACGGCCTGAACTTTATACAGAAAAAAGACAGGGGGGAATGTGCTGAAGTTTAATGATTTTGCTGCTGAACAGCAGCTTTGCAAACAGTCCAAGGGGTGAGGGTGCTGCTCACCCCAAGGGCTGCTCGACTGCACGCTGAATCCACTGACAACAGCAGCAAGCTGCTCGTTTTGCTGTGACACAGAGGAAGTAACATGGGACAAAGACACTGATAGGCTGCAGGCAAGGAAAGTGATGTGTTAGCAGGGACCTTGCTCAAACTTCTCGTGGAGCCAGTGAGCTCTGTTTAAAAAGAAGTTATGCTGCAGTTAATTTCCTTCAGTGCCCTAGTGCCAAGTGTGTCACTGTTTGCCTCAATTTTAGGTTTTTTGGTCTCCCTGGTAGCCAAGTATCAAGGTGTTACAATCCTCTCTGGGCTCACAGAGGGGCTCAGCAATTTCAGCTGGGCATTTTGTAACCACAGCATTAGAAACTGGTTTCATACACCCAGCCCAGCAGGGAGTGGAGAGCAGCAGTGCTGGGACCACAGCTAGCCCTGAGGACCAGGCTCAAAAAATCCACATCCCATTTCACTACCTCAGAATAATAAACACCCAACATGAGCTGCTTTCTCTCAGAAGCATCAGGACATTTTCTTCTTCTTCTCTCTGCCCTCAAAGCTGATGGAAAATCGTTCATCTGGCAGTCCTGAAGACTAAAGTCTTCCATTTATCCACACAACAGATATAACAGAAAGAGGAGTAGCAAAAAGATCTCTTACAACCTCTCTCCACCTGGCAGAGACAGAAGAGGAGCTTCATGGTTATTCAGTTTTCTGCCTCTGAACCAAAGCAGTGGGGTTTAATGTAAACATCTAAAATCTACAATTTTGATTATTCTACTTGGTTTTAATTTCTCATACGAGCTTTCTGATTCAAATTTTAGTAGAAGTGACATTTTAATTACTGTACTTGGGGAATGAAAGTACAACAAGGAGGAGAATGCTGTTTGGGTTGATGTTAGGCTGCATTTTGTGAGACATGTGTGATTCAGTGCAAGATTTTTCAGAGCATTGTTTAAAATGATCCATCTTACCTTTCTGTCTCTGGCTTTTGGAACAGTTTTTCCTGCGTTAGACACCACCACAAAGCTCCCAGAAGCTCCCTTTCCTTTCACCTAGTTTGAAAGAATGTTTATTTCAAACTTTAAGAAATCAACTCAGAATAACAAGAGACAAATTTACGTCACTACACGGATTTTGAACGTGCCGTCACCCTGGCAATGGGCTGTGGCAGAAGCCTGATTTGAACCCACTAAGACCAGAAAACATTAAAAGTCTGCTCTCCTGACCCTAACAGGTATCACAGGCTTAAATGACAGTGGTAAAAAAACCTCACAGGCTTAAATGACAGTGGTAAAAACCCCTAGAGAATCATAGAATTGCTTCAGTTGGAAAAGACCTTTAAGATCATTGAGTCCAACCATTAACCCAGCACTGCCAAGTCCACCACATGCTGCTGCAGAAGCTGTCAGACTCAGTTTGAAGAGACACATTGCTGCAATTGCAGCATGACAACACCAAGAAACGGTCATAAATTGGCCAACAGACAACTGTGCAAAGTATCTAACTGACAAAACAACACTGAAATTCTGCCAGTGTCTAACAAAGTGGAGATAGAGGTTGAGGAACCTCCACAAGGGAGAACACGACCATCCCATGGAGCTGCTAATGGAGTTTAGGAAACTCCTGTGTAATGAAATAACACCACACCCAGTGCTGCTCCACAAAGCAGCTCTTACCTGCCTAATGATTCCCCTCTCCAGCTCTCTTTTCAGGGCTTGCTTTAGAAGGTAGCCTCTCCTCTCAAGCTCCAGGGAAGGGTACTTGTGGATGATGTATTTCCGTATTGCCACCACCGAGGCACCACTCTTCTGAAAGCAGGCCTGAAACAGAAGCAAGCAGTAGAACCTCAGAACCTGCACTGCAATTCTCTTGCTGTGGGACTGAAGAACAGAGGTTGAACTGATGCACACAGCCCAGCACGTTGGCACAGGGTGCCAGGATTGGCCTTTTTCCCCACAATGACCCAAGAGTGTGAAATAAGGCAAATTAAATGCTTGACTTTCCCCTTCAGTGTCCAAATGGCAGAAAAGTAGTACAGCAAGTGTCTATCAACTGCTCCAGTATTGTGAAGCACTCATGAGTAATGGCAAAAACAGTACATGCTACTGCAAAACACAGTCACCTTTTGGCAAAGTATCTCAGAGTAATCAGTCAGAACAAGTTGCCAATTTTTTTTTAATAAGATGGAGGATTGATATTAGAAAACTAGTAAAAAAACCCAAGCTGAGGTTTATAGTTTGAAGATAGAGCAGCTGGAAAGGCCATCTTGCACTGGTGGAGTCCTGGTCTCCTGTGAAGGCAACATGCTGGGACCAAGCCTCAAGGGGAGAGCAGCAGCACAGCTACAACAGCACAGGTCTCTTCTTACAACCAGGAGGGGTACAGTAAACCCAGAGCAACACCCCTTTGGAATGCTGCCTTACAGTATTTCCATGCACCCTGAATTAGAATAAGTTAAGGCTGAAAAAAGCACGTATCAACTAGATGGATTAATCAAGGTAGATCAAGTTAAATAGAGCTAGAAGGCACATCAAATTAAATGACAGCAATCAACCAGGTTATGTCATCCTAGCTGTTTCTAATAATGTAATGAGGGAGGGAAAAATTCTAAACAGAAATAAGCTACAGTGCCCCTCACTGCAGCTCCACGGGCTCCCAGGCAGGAGCACACACATCTCACAGGGAGCCTCCTGCTAACAGACAGCACTGTCACCCTGACCATCAGCAAGCTGAAACTGTGGATTTTAGGCACCCAAATTCTTCTGCTTTGCAACAGATGAAAAGAAACATTTGTCTCCTGCTTACCCTGATGGCCTCGGTGAGGATAGCATCCATTTTGGGACGGGAGGTGGCAGCCATCTGTGTCTGCTTCTGTGCTCTAGCTAGCTGGCTAGCAGAGAGAGTGGCCCATGCAGGAATGGTCTTTTTCACCTTCTTCTCCTTTTCCTTGGACTGATCCTTCTCGCTTAGGGAAAATACAAAGCAATAGTAAGACAAGAGACAGTGTAAAAGGAGCCTACAAGCAGAACGACAGCTGAGAAAAGCCCAGAACATCTGACACTGAAAATAATTTATAGAATGTTTTGATGTTTCTACCAGAAAAAAAAAAGTCTGCCTTGATTTTCAGTCTCACAGATGTTCTAGAAGAGCAGCTACACTTGATTGGTAGCTTCTTGCCAAGAACTATGAGCACTGTTTGGAGGGACCCATCCTATTTTCCCTGTAGGGCTGTTCAGGTTGAAAAAGACCTTTAAGATCATTGAGTCCAACCAAGTCTTTTTTCCTCATCTCTCCCATCACCTTTTCCATCTCTAGAACCTGACTTTCTTCAGAATCCCACCCAAATCCCCGAATTCAGCACAAAGAAAGCCTTACTCCTTTTTGGTTTCTTCTGAGGACTTTGTTTCCTCCTTCCCTTCATTCTCAGGCTCCTTTGGCTGTTCTGGTTCAGTGGATGCAGCAGGCAGAGTTTCACTCTCTTGTTCTTCCCCAACAGAGGCAGATTCCTCAGAGGTGACTTCTGCATCTAAAAGATGTGACAACACATCAAGTTACTGCCTAAAACTAGACCCTGTTCTTCAGGAAGGCAGAGGGAAAAAAAGTTTCTAACCCCCTGAATTTTCCACTAGACAATTCCTTTTCAAATAATGTTTAAATTAGAGAATGTAACTTAAGAAGTGAACAAAACTCCTGAAAAGAGCTTCAATAAGGTGCAATCAGCCATCAAATGCCAGAAGAACCTCATGCAGCATTTTCACAATGAACTAATTCCTCCAGTCCCCTCCTCTTAACTCCAGAAGTTACTGCTGCAATCATCCCTTATCAGAGAGGCCTGGGTGAGGAAGGGAGGAGGAAATCAATACCATAAACCAGTAAGATTTTCCCCTAGGCTGACGTTTGTACTTTTAACCCAGAAAGGTGCAAGAACATACCTCTCTACAAGAAATCTGGATAAAGAACAAGCAGCTTTGTTTATGACCAACCTGTCTTCAAACGCTGCTGTTTCTGCACCACCTGAAGAATTTTAACTGTTCAGTCCCATTTTTCCAGACTTGGCAAAGCTTTAGACTGCACACACATTGGTAGAAACATTTGTTTATCAGCAGGATCAAACCCAAATCAGAAACAAACTTCCCAAGAAAAGGAGCTCCAGCATATTTAGCTGAGAACAGCTTACAGACTGGGCTGCCTGCTGGGTAAGATCCATATAAACTGCCACTACCCACTTTTTGGGTAAATAGCTCTCAACCATGACTGCTCCATGCAGAAGATGTGTCCTCTGTCTCTGGGAAGGAGCTTAAGCACTCCTGCAATGCCCAGTTTTCCCACAGAAGCATCATGCATTTAGAATACACAGCATATTGATAGTTCATTTTGTGACACCAAAACTAACCAAATACTGTACTGAAATGACACCTTCTGAGAAACTGAGGGGAAGCTGCCAAGACCAGGCACATTAATATTGGACTGGATTGTATGACACATTGTGGTGAAGTTCTTTTGTTCAGGAAAAGAAAGCAAAAAAAATGAAATACTTTGTTTTTTCCACTCATTAACTCCACCTTTCAATCTCAAGTGACCTTTCTGACACTACTGAAACTTCACAACTTCTACCTTTATTCTAACGGATGTGCAAGCTTCAAAGGGACTATATTTAGTTATATTTTCTTTCTGGAGTGTCAGGGCTTTGCCATGGGGTACGGAGGACAAAACACCAGGGTTCAGACTGAAAAGAGTGGCTGCAAAATGCAACTTCCCAATAAACTACCTGGGAAAAACCTGCGAAAAGAAGTTAAGCATTAATAATGTTTTAATCACAGCCATGAGGATTTGTTGGGAGTGTCAGAACACAAGCTCATGCCTGGATATGTGTTATAGAACTGTCACTGTACCTGCTTTGACCTCTTCCCCCTCAGCAGGTTTGCTTTTGGGAGGGGTTTCCCGGGAGGACGAGTTCACCGAGCGACGGATCGGCATCGTGTCCTCTTCAGCTTTCTACAAAAGGCATTCAGAGATCAGCACAGACACTGGAGGAACCAGAGAGGTTCTGAAATGGGATTAAAGTCAATCAAAGCAGCATAGTTGGAAATAGCCCGGTTACATTTGGATTTTTCAGAGTTTTAAGAGACAGTAACCCTCAAATCGGCTTCTTTGAAGCATACTAGGAGAGGATAGTTTCACATTTTACAGTTATAAAAGGAAGAATTTATTTTAAATTCCAAATTAAACGGGATGAGCATTTGAGGATTTGGACAAGTCCAACGCCTCGGGGAAGGCAGGGAAGGGGGAGGAGGGTGCCTACAGGGTTGATTACATTTCCAATGGAGTTTCCTACAAGCAGAGGAGAAAAAGTACCGAGTTTTTTTTTCTGGAAGTCAAGGACTGATCCAAGGGCAAGCTTGGAGAACGGGCCAGCCCCTACCTCACTTAACTTGTCCGTGTGGATCAGCTGAGCTCCCGTTAAGAGTGGAAGCGCCTTATGATGCACGGGTTCAGCTTCAGACAGATCAGTCGCCATTTAAATTAATTTCTAGCCCCAAGTGCAGGTAATACTGTGGAGCCCCAGGTTTTAACCCCAAGGACTTTTTTCCTAATGGTTTTCACAGTGCAGGGAGGAGTCAACCTGAAGTACAGAAAAGATGTGGTGTGAAAATTAACAAAACGAAACCGTCTGCGTCCATGTTCTAACAAACTAAAGATTAAAAAAGGAAAAGAAAGATAAATGACTTACAGCTTATGACTAACAAAACTGACAATCAACACTTGCATTCAACAAAGAGGCTAAAACATGTATGCAAACTGGAGTGCTATGGATGTGGCAGACATGGTTAAGGGGTAAGACAGACCTGCAGCCTGCTCCGCTAAAACAGATCTGAAAGGATAAAAAGGCTCTTTAAATGAACAGAAAGCATTAACAAAAAGCAGACACTGCACCAAGGAAGGTGCTGGGGTAACTAGTTGCTTGTTGACTTTGGGGAAAAAGCAGGAGCTGAGACATTGATCCAGCTTCTATCAGCCTAGGGAATTAAACTGTTAAATCTGTGAGGCAGCAAATTCGGATGCTGGGACCCAAACCATGCCCCTCCCAAAGGAAGCCCATGCAAACTTCAGAATTCAAGGAGTCCCTGAAAAAGAAAATAACCACCAAAGCAGCAGGCTCTGTACCTTTGACAAAAAAAAACCAAGCTTTACAAAGCTCTCCTCCAAACACAGGTGGGGGTCAGAACCCTGAGTGTGCCACGTTACACTTCCACCCCCTTCCTTACCTGTTGCCCATGCGGCTGCATCAGCCTCACCTAAGCAGAGGTGCTCCACTATTTCCATCCTGAAACAGAGGCTTGACCTGCTCGTTCACCTCCTCTTCTCAGCAAAAGCAAAGCCTCACCTCTAGCAGACCAGGGCTGGGTCTGTTCTCTCCAGTTCCATCCCACAATCAAGCTCCAGGCTGCCCTTCTCCTTGCAGAGCCAAATGCTCCTGATTTTGACCTGTTCTGCATGTTCTGCTCAGTCAAGGAGGATGACACTTACTATAAACTTTCACTTCTGATAGGTATTCCCCCAGCCTGGGTGTCTTCCTCTCAAACATCACTCTCAAGATGACCTTCACCACAGCTTCAGTGCTGTGCACTGCACTCTCCACTGCAGGGACAGATGCTCCAAACCACATCAACACCACCTCAATCCTTCCCCGAAAATACTCTTGCCTCTTACTGCTCCTCAGTGGGGACTCCTCACCTCCCTTCCTGGTATTTCCCCAGGCAAACCCAAACCCAGCCCATCTGGTGTTAAACCTCCAGTTGTGTTTCCATTCCAAAACTGGTGGCAGAAAGAAGCAGCCAAGGGGAACACACGTTAAATGTGATGGGTCACAGGGGCTGGAGGTGCAGGAGGCCACATCATGGTACCTACAAGATCTCCTCCCCAATAATAACAGCCACTCTGACAAATGACACTGAACTCCTCCTGCCTCAGCACCAGCAAGAGCCAATGGGTGTAACAGCACTGGGTGTTTTCTTCTGAGACAGAACAGAAAAAATCAACACAGACTTTATGCCAAAACCAAAATAAATGGGATGAATGAAGCGTTCTTATGAGATTTCGTGATGGGAAAATACTAATGGCCAATCAGAACACAGGAACTACAGCCCAGTGGGTTGGTTTTTCTCTTTTTTTGGGACCTTCCTCCCTCAAGTGTGGAAAGTGAGAGGGAAAAATTAAAAATTCCACCAGGCTTCAGCACAGTATCAAGTGTTTTTTCTAGCAAGCATAGCCTGAAGCCCTCTAAAAAACTGCCAGCCTTTTGAAGTGAGTTCTAAACCTGCCAGTTACAGACCCCTCTGCAAGGAGCTCATCTGGGGGCTACAAACACACCCAACACATGCACGTCCTATGGCTGACCTGGACCTGGGGTTTATTTACTCCTCAACTGAGTGACCTGCATGTCACATGGATATAAACACAGGACACCCAACTTTGACTTAAAATTCCCCAAGTTCTAAACCAGCCCCTTTGTTTAGATCTTGATATAAACTAGAGTCTTCCTGTTCTCAGGTGTGAATCTTAACACAGCACGACTCCACATCAGTGCCTACAGTACATGCAAAGAAGCCACCACCCAGCAGAAGTTCAGAGTGACCCAAACAGGAGCCTGGTGATTCCCTCCACGTTCCCATGGGTGGATCATCTCCTGCTCAAAAGGCTTCAGGAATCAGAGGGGCAGGAGGATAATCTCCTGTTGACTTCAAAGCGGTGCAAAGTCACAAGCACCACCTTGTGAAAGCTCAAGGACAACTCTCAGCCAGGCTGTTTCTTCCCACAGAGGAATCAAAAGCAGATTTCCAGACTGGGTTTAAAATATCATAGAATCCCAGCATGGTG